GTAACAGGTCATTGAAGCTAGTGTCAGACTAGCCATGGCGAGCCCTCAGCATCAGCATCTAGAGGTTAAAACGTAGCGTCGTCCAGAGCTTCGGACAATCCTTATAGAAGGGATCAATTGCCGCATGCTTCATCTCTCTGAAATTCTCCAGCCACCTCGGGCTCCCAAACAGAACATCATCGTGGTCAAGATGGTTAGCGATTGACTCAAAAAGCTCCGCTTCCTCGGGACCCCTCACAGGCTCACCGCCATCCCCATCCCCATCATCGCTGCCCCACCGCCGTCGTCATCCGCCGTGTCTTGGAGTAGATCATCCATCGTGATGTAATCATGATTTGCATTGTCGCCAGTAGCAGCATTGTTGTGCCCGCCAGCTGCTACTGACGAGGTTTGTTGTTCTGCATTCACCGCTACCGTCGTCGTTGTCGACGAGTTTCCTTCAGATGCACCGGCACTCGGATCCTCTGCTTCCTCGTGAAACTTCTAGACGGTGTAATCCTTGATGAAACCATACCGGACCAAGTGAGATTTCACCACATTATTTTTGTGCAGTAGAAGGTTCTTACAGCTCTTACACGGGCAGACGGTGTGTTCCCACTTCAGACTTAGACGATGCCTTTTCACAACGGCAATAAACTTTGTCACATGTTCTAGGTACGAAGGATCCAGCCTCAATGTCTTGTACATTCATTCCCTGTCCATGATCGCGAAACCTTGCACACACAAAAGTGAAAATGGCGCATATAAGCAAAGCAGTATGGAAAAAAGCAGCCGGGTAGCTCTAGATATGATTTTCTCTCTCCTCCATATGGATCTAGATCTTTGATCTAGAGAAAAAGCAAGCAAATCATGGAAAAGAGAGAAGATTGAGGGGTTGAGAGCGAGAATCAACCTCTTGTGATGCCCCCTTCAACAAATTTAAGGGCAAAACCTCTCCCCCTACAAAATGGCCACTTTTTAGGGGTTTGAGGTCAAAACCCGAAAAAATAGAGGAGCCATGGGGAAGAAGGGTGGGTGGGGCTGCATTTATAGCCTAGACTTAACCGAGGCGGGCATTATTAGGAAACTGCCTCGGTTAATGGTCTATTAACCAAGGCGGTCGTTTTACTGAAAATGCCTCGGTTAATGGATTAACTGAGGTGGTTAAGTTAGGGCGATCGCCCCGGTTAATAAGCATTATTCGAGGCGGTTAAGTTACATTGCCCGCCTCGGTTAAGTATTAACTGAGACGGTTGCTGGCCCGGCTGCCCGGCCTCGAATAACCGAGGCGGGCAACCAGGCCGCCCGTCTTGGAGCACCAAAGTGAAACGCTGCGCAAAAGAAACCCTGTAGTAGTGTAACTAGTTGAAGACTTTGACTAAAAAAATTAGCTCATCTATTAGCTTTCCTGTTTGAATGCACTAGAGCTAATTCTTAGCTAGCTATGAATTAACTCTGCTATCAAAGAGGCCCTTACTTTGATTTTAATTGTATACGTACGTGAATCAAGAAGGTACGAGGAGCTAGACAAACGAGACAGCGCAGTGACGAAAACTAGATAGAGTTTTGCCTTATCATTAACCTTGGACGAAGGAAGATTTTCACACACATTATACTCTTATCTAAACCTAATGTTTAAAAGTTAAAATTTTATTCCTTTTTTTTTGGTCTATCTTCCCTAATTATTGGACAGTGGAGAGTTTCTTTAGTCCTATTTTTTACTTCTCAAATTGCACTTACACCTTTTGTGTCCCATATGTGATCCGGACTCATATAACTCGTGGTCATACGAGCTAGAGCATCTCATGTCTAGCAATGATAAATACTGAGTCCAATTTCAAG